GTTCCAATAATTGTGTAGTTGGATGGGGCTCAAAAAGAGCTTTCCAACGATATATTCTAAGTCCAATTCCGATGAAATAATGAGGAAGTTATGACCCAAATATTAAATTGGATACTAAATGACTTTTATGGGCGACCCAATGATCAAGTGGAGGTTCCATTAATTATCATTCCTAAAGTAGTTAGGAATTACTTTAATTTTCTAGAATAGTCTAAAATGTTATTTTAACTTCTAAAGAGGGATTAATAATTATATTTTAGGAAAGATAAAGAATTTCAGTCGAAATAAAACAAGTGTTTTAAAGAGGTCTTAATTTGATTTTAATGATAAAGTACAGAATCTAATTACCCAATTATATTGGAAAAGGACTCTGTACGACAAATATTATCCTGTATCACCATTGCACTGCGACAAGTCCATCGCGCCACGATAGGCATGTCGCGCCGCGACAAGTCCATCGCGCCACGATAGGCATGTTGCGCCGCGATGGGAGTAATTTTACTTCGATTAGAATTTGGTCTTCTCTTATCGTTTCCGAATGTTTTTCTCTATAAATAGGGTCATATTTCCCCGTTTTTAATCATCAACGATCATCTATTCTATTCTCTCTCTCTCTCTAAGTGAGAAGCTTATTCTTTCTCTCTCTTTCTAAGCCTTGCCTTTTCAAAAAATCATACGTTCATCATGAGACTTAGACGCACCTAGCCAAGCTCAAAGTTTCCTTCACCCTAGACGTGAAAGACTGATAATTTCTGAGGGTTTGGTCTCAAATCCCTATTTAGATTATTTAAATTAATTGTTTGATTTAATATTTTCATCGAAGTTACTAACGTGTGTATTGTTTTGATAAAAAGAGATACGAGGCAACAAAGTAAGTTTTTTTTATTGTTACATATCTTTAGAAAGCATGCTTAGATTAATTTAACTCCTAGTATCATGTTAGGATATCTTTATAATTCCTAGTATCATGTTTAGGGTAACAACTAATATTTCTTATATCATATATGTTTCTAGTATCATGCTTAGGTTGCTTCCTATTTCCTAATATCATGTATGTCACTAGTATCATCTTAGGAGTAAAGCTTTAATCTTTATTGTTTAGTGACATGCTAAGATTTGTTATTAATCATGTTAGTATCACGCCTAGGATCTTGCTAATATTATTATGCTTTATTGAGAATATTGATATTATGATGATGATTTGTTGTATCAATATTATTATGTTGCTTTATATTATTGTTATTGCTTGATCACGCCGTCTCTTGCAGGTTTAAAGGGAATTTGTACTTGAAATCACTCTTAATAAGATAATTAATAATTTGATTTAGGCTAATATGATTTTAATTCAAGTGATCGCCAATAATAGTTTTATTTATGCATTAACATTCAACCAACATCAATTAAACAGGTTTAGGATTAATATATTGACTTTATGTTCGTCGGAAAGCGCACATGAATATGAGAAGAATAGATTCGTGTCCTATTTTTAGGGCAGGTTTAATCTCTTTTAGATTGGATTTGTACCATCCCCAAATATCCAGTCATGGTTCAGGACCACTATGGAGTTAGTGATATCATGTGTCGTGAAGGGGTGTAACCTTCACCCTGTGAATGGTTTACAAGTTCCTAAAACTTGTTGGTGACTCTTTTTATCTAGATTCCTTCCTTTTGGACGCTACCATGCTTATGTGTATGATCACAGTGGGGCTCAAGTGTGGGATGCTTGAAATATTCCCAACAGATTTTGAGGACTCCACTCGGGAGGATTTCTATTTTAATTCCTAAAATTTATTTTGGCAATAGCTTAGAATGAATGGATGAGACTCGAAACGTTCTAAGTATTCATGTGTATAATTTTGATTAACATTATTGGCATAATCATAAAAACGTCAACATTGGAAAGACCATCCGTAATGCGTCAAAAACATAGGCTTTTTACACGTAGGAAATTTGGGAAATATCTTTCACAGCTAGAATCGAAAAAACGCTGCGAAAATAAAAAAAACTTCTAAGAACACTGAAATTTGTTGAGGCATGTAGGAACCATCACTGAGAGAACAGTGCCCATCGCAGTGCGATGGCTTTGTTGCGACGCGATGACAACATCGCGCCGCAGCAAGGCCATCTCCTCGCGATGGTCTCAGTTTTCTCGCGCCATGCTCTTCCAATACCCAGCCAGACGTCTACCTTCTTGCTTTGACTGGTTCTAAAACTATTTGGCTGATTTTACTTTTTGATTGAGTTTTTCCCTTTTTTATAAACCCCATATATGTTCTACATTTGGCTATAATCCTAGGGGAATTTATGCTCCATCTAGCTACCCAATCAAACGCTCATTGCAACGAAGGGTACATCCGAGATTGTGAATTCACCAAACCATGGAAACACGTTTAACTTGTGGGGTCCTATCCATGCGCTAACCTTTTCAAAGGTAAGGCTTCCGCACGATGCTTCCAGACCCATAACCAAGGACCCTCTTTTGACTACCCTTATCCTTGAACTTTAGAGAACTAGAGCCATGGTTAGGTTGCAAACTCATTGCATCATACTGTGCTTATTTGACTACTTGTGCATCTCTAGCTTGGCATAGCTTGTATGTGTTTATGGTAACCGTTTGTTTGAATTGTGTTTAAGTCTAAATAAACTAATTAATGGCTATATAGGACTTTGCTTAATTTATTAATTAATTAATTAGTAATTAAAGTTTAATAAAATTGAATAAACATGACTTAGCATGACCATAGGCTTGTCCCTTTTAGAACAGAGCACTGGAAACAAGTTCGGACTAATGTTTCAGTAATGACGCGGAGGTCTGGCCTTTGGAAGGACACACGAGTACCAATTGTGACGCGATAGCAATAGCGCGCCGCGATGGCTCTGTCACGACGAAATAGTGCTATTGTGTTACGCGATGGTCCAGTTTTTTGTTTGTGTCTTCGCGCTTAGTCTAGTTAATCACTTTATTAATAATCTAAGTCTTATTCAGTCCTTAATCGAGTCTAGAAACATAGTCCCATGGTCTTACACAAGTGTCAAGCATGCCACTTTCACTCACTATTTAAAAGCACACACTTTATGTATGTTTCACTATGACCATGTATAGAGAATCTTGTGTGCTTGTATTTTCCGTCATTTTTTAAGGGGGGTAAGCCGTATATTAATCCTCCCAACATAACCATGTTGTTTAAACCATTAAACTTGATTCCCAAAAATGCACCCCATTTTTTGCTTTTTGCCTTTTAAAACCGATAAAAGTCAAAGTCAATTAGAGTCGAGTCATTAAAATCAATGGTTTAATATTACAACACTTGGTCAACAAGAGAAGGACGGTTAATCAAGGACAACACTTTCGTTCAAGTTCTACTCTTTGAAAAACCCATCCAACAAGAAGTTGATGATCTAAGGAAAAACATGAACAACTTGACTGAGATGTTGAAGACTATTGCTCTTCAAGTCAACGATCCTGTCAAGCAAAAACAACTTGAGCGTATGGAGGAAATTCTCAACAAAATCTCCAACCACTACTATAAAATTGGCCAAAGAGACCCGTCCAAATTAGCCAAAGAGACTGCCTTAGAGGCGGTCTCTAGCTAAACGGTCTCTATGGCTAAGAGACTGCTTCTTAGTTTCAAAACTTGAGACCTGTTATCTTAGAAAAGAAGTCTCTTTGGGTGGTTGAAATATTAAAATTGTAGAAGCATAAAAGACCCTTTTTGTCAGAAAAGCGGTCTCTCATTTTAAAAGTTGAGACCCGTGAACTTACAAAAGCAGTCTCTTTTATGAGTTCAGGAGAGACCATTTATGTTAGATAGGCGGGCTCTTGCTACATTCTATTTAAAAAAAAAGGAAATTCTCTTTGGTAACACTATAGTTTTAAGTTTTCTCAATGGTGAATTGCAAAAAAACTTATTATCTTTGGTAAACTCGAATTTCTTATATTAAGCTAACGGTAACATTAATGACTAATTTTAACTAAATATTTAACTATAGTTAGGTTTTTTTTTGACATTTAAATGATTTAAAAAATAATTTTAAAAATAATTTATTTAAAAAAAAAAATCACCTCCTTCCCCGACCAGCATCCACCACGCCGGCGCCCACTCCCCTGCCCTAACCCACGTCGACGCCTAGCCATCTCTCTCGCCGGCGCAGCATCGGCATCTCCAGCCCTGAAAATCACCTCCCTTCCCCACGAAAATCCAGCCCTCCTTCCCCGACCAGCATCCACCACGCCGCACCTTTCCCCCTTCCCCGAAACCCATCTCCCTTCCCCACGAAAATCCCAGAAACCACCCCCAAAAATATGAAATTCCTTAGCCGCCCAATACCCCACCATCAAAATCCCTAATTGGCTTCAAAATCCCCCACCTTCAAAACCAATCGGTTTTTAGAACCATGGCCTTCAACCTAAAGCGCTGCCGCTGATTTTCGCCATTGAAATTGATTGATTTCATCCTTATTTGCGCCGCTAATTTTCGCCGGTGGTTTGGGTCGTGGGTTTGGGTTCGATCTTGCACAGGAAAGGGAGGCTGCGTGAAAGGAGGAGATAGATTTAGAGGATGGTTGTAATGTAGTTGCGGTGGGAGGAGGATGGTGGGCGGTGGTGTGAGGTTTTGGGTGGGTGGTGGTTGAGGAAAGGGAGGGGGATAGGGTCGCCGGCTAGGAGGGGATGTGCGCCGGCCAGGGGAGAGGGGGGTTGGGATGCCGACGGTGGTATTTGGTTGTGGCAGTAGTTGGCTGGTGGTGGAAGGGGAGATTTTTTTTTTAATATATTTCTATATTTAATTAATTGTTAGAAAACTAATTAAACTAACCATGGTTAAGGAAAATTAGTTAAAATAGTTATTCTCTTTGGTATCAAAAATTCAAGTTTACCAATGATAATAAGTTTTTTTGCAATTTACCACTGAGAAAACTTAAAAATACAGTGTTACCAAAGAGAATTTCCCAAAAAAAAAATTACAAAAAACAAATATACAATTTCATATTTCGCTCAAAAAAAAAATGAAAATCTAAGGTACTATAATCTATTAATATGTAGTACATAATACATACGAAGTATTTACATAATAGATACTTCGTAATTTATAGTATGTATTAGATAATTTATCTAGGTACTATAATCTATTAATCTGTAATCAAATAAAAAGAAAATTAACACTAAAAATGAACTATCATCCACTTGTTTCATTGGAGTGTTTATCTTCATCATCATCCGTTACCATCGTCGTCATCTTCATATTATATCTTCGTTAAACATTAGCTCATAGATAACCTATAATAAGAGCAAAAAATAATAAGGTTAGATTTTCACTAAACACAAGCAACAAAAATTAAAGATTTATAGTAAATAAAAGCTATACGAAGTTAAATAAAATTGAATTCATAATACTAACAATGTACAGATAAATAATGAAATTAAAAAGCAAAAACAGAAAAAAAAAAAAAAAAAAAAAAACCTAACCAAAACAAAAATTCAAAAATTACCAATTTTGTATAATCACAAATTATATCAAAAATTTAAAATCCGATTTAAACCAGTAAGAACTAAAACAAAAATCAGAATAGAAAATGAAAATGAAAACTATTTTTTCAAAATCGGAATAAAAACACAAAAATAAAAATTGAAGAATAAAAATCGAAAACGGAGGTTATAAAATCTAAAACGAACATAAAAAATAGATCTAAATAATTTTAAAACTATCAAAATTAAAACCCAAAAGCAAACAAGAAATTAGATGAATAGATCTTAATCAAAATTTTATGAAAATGGTATTAGAAGAACATAAAATGAAAACAAAAACAAAAACAATATGCTGAACAAGGCCAACCTTGAGACCAAAAAATCGAGCAACTTGACCAACCAACTCACAATCACAACACTAAATAATCATTAACAGCAATTACATGAACCCTTTACCCATCAAAGCATTGAGATAGTCTGATAATATTGCAAAATGAGAATCAACCTTCCCTTGACCCATAAATCTACAACTTTTACTTCATTTTAGCGAGATCTAAAATAAAAAATAAATTAAAATTAAGGGTATGAAAAAACAATTGAGGTAATAAAATGAAGTGATTTTTTTTTGAAAAAAAAAACCTGTTCTTAGTGGTAAACAATGATATATCATCGAAATTGGAAGCGAGTTGTTCCTGAAGCCACCAAATGGCATATCATCTTCCTTGACGGTCCATTCTTTCTATAAGACAACTTAGAAAATCAAGAAGAGAAGCTTGAACACCATTAAAGGTACTTTTGAAGCTCCATTGGTTTGTCTATGGATCGGAGACGAATTGAAAGCGAAAGGAATTTATATAGTACCGAGGTTGAAGAAAATGATAAATATCAGTGTCGTCTCGGATATTTTAGGGGCCCGGAGCGAAATCTTAAAAAGGCCCCTAAATTATGAGAATGTATTTCATAATTTTTATATTATAAAGTTCACCAAAATGATTGATTATAGTTGGTCCTATGAGCATTTTTTTTAAAGCAAATTCATCAATCAAACCCTCACAAGCTATATTTCCAATTTTTTTTTATTTAAAAAAAGTCAAGAATTTAAACTCAATAAAAAAAATTAATAAAGAAGAGAAATTCAGTAACTAAAGCTAACATAATGCGAAGTAGAATTTAGGTAATTAAGGAAAAGAAATAAACTAAAAGAGAAAGTAGAAAAAGAAAAAAGGAAAAAGGAAAATGAAAGCTCACATAAAAGAGAAAATGCAAATCTAAAAATACCAAACAAAAAGATAATTAAGCAAATAAACCAAACCCCCGCTTTAGTGCTTCTTCATTTCCTCCATTTGAACCCCAAAAAAAAATCACTTAAGCTAAGTAAGTTAATTTTTTGATTCATCTTTAGATTAAAAAGAAGTAGTTATACTTGTCATTAGTACTACATTTCATAAATTTATCAAAGAATAGTTTTTATTTTATTTTATTTTATTTTTTTTATAAGATATCAAAAATATATATATATATGTGGGCCCCACTAAAGGGGGGCCCTGAGCGATCGCTCAACGAGCTCCCCTAGTAGCCGGCCCTGATTAACATAAAAAATTTAGGTTTAAAGTATGAAGAAAAGATTAATTGAAACAAGAAATGGAGGAATTGAAATTGAAATTTGAATGAAATGGTTCATGAAAAGACGGAATAAGGAGTTTGAGGTAAGAGCAGGAGAGAGAGGAAGAGGAGGTGGATTGAAGAAGAAAATTTTGGGGGAGTGATTTTAGGGTTAGTTATATTTTTATTCATGGAAATAAGGGAGACTGATTAAGCATCACCACGGGTCTTTCCAAAACATATACTAGTATTTTTTTTATTTTAATAAAAAGAGAGACCGGTTATGTAAAAACACGAGTCTCTCCTTTTTAATTTAAAAATAAAAAAAAAATTGAGAGAGATCCATTATCTCTAAGAAAGGGTCTTTTTTTTTTCCTGAATACTACCAATGAGACTAGTTATTTGTAATGTTGGGTCTCTTGAAACACAGTGACCAACTATTTGATTTACGGGTCTCTCATTTCGGGTCTCTTTGGGCATTTTTTTTAGTAGTGAACGATTACAAGGTTCAGGATTTTAGCTCCCAAAGAGTCTTAGTGGACAAGGAACTTCTTCCGCATAAGTTCAATGCCAATGACATCCCTAAGTTCAAGCCTACCAACAATCCTTACTGTTGAGCAATTAGGTTTTGATGATTATAAACTAATGATGATTATCTATCTAACGTGTATGTTAAGTTGTGCATAGAAAGAGCAAGTTATGCTTGGAACAGGATACAAGGAACCTGAGTAATGACAGGTATATATGTAAGGAACTTGAGCAATATAGGATAAGCAATAGAGGAACAAGAACAACGATAAATGTTATGGTTGATAAGCATGATGATGGTTAAGGAACCATGAAGGTAACTATGTAAACATGTGTTTACATATGTTAGCTTCATTAGGTAAGTATCCTATACATATATAGGTTATGTATGTGTAGGAGTCTTTTAATTTAGTTTAGTTTTCTTTATTGTTTTTATAAATAAAAAACTAACCTTCTGTTTTACTTTGTTATCCTCAGAAGTTTGCTCAGTTTGTCATCATTAAAAAGGGGCAACTTGTTGACCCTTATGAGGTTTTGATGATGATAGTTATGATTGAGCAAACTTCCATTTAATAAGGATTTTCTAGTGTTGTGATGTTTGCAGGTTTAGTAAGCGTTGAGGGCTGAAGTAGGAACTGAAACAAAGGAACTTTAGAGGATCCATGAGGATACAAGTAAATTTAGAAGAAGAGTTCCAGAAATGTAACTTCCAGAAGTTTCTTAACAGGAACTTCAAAACGGGTTGTAACGACCTGGTTCCGGTGTAATGCTGGGGCAAACCTTAAGATCTAGAATATATCAAGACTACAGGATTCCAGAACAAGAGTTTCAGAGAAGCAACATGAAGACAGAGAAATAGATGTATATTGCTCTAGGACTCATGTAAGTATGTTGGACATAAAAGTCGATCTGGAACAAGTCTATATAGAACCAAGGTGAACTCTAAACAGTCAATGAAATTAGAGTAACTGATTTGTCAGGAACTCAGAGACTGTCAGAGTTCAGGAACCTAATAGGAACTTAAGTATGCACGTCGTTAAAAGTCAGTTTTAATGATTTATATATTTACCTTATACGTGCATATCTTTTAGGGATTTGGTTTTACTGAATAAAGATATTTATCTTCTAATAAATCCCTTTTGGAAAAAGATAAGATTGTTTAAAAAGTATTTTAAACAAAAAGATAAGTTTTGAATAAAATCTGATTTTATGCTAAGTTTATCTTATTATTATTGACAGTTTTTATTCTTAACAAGAAGATATATTTTCGGAAAACTAATTTTTAGAAAATATCTTTTAAACTTATCTTTTCAGAAAATCTATCTTTTTCAAGATGAAATGAATAATTCGAATGTACTATAAATATGCTCATATGCATTCATTCAAAGCTGAGGCTGACGAAGTGTAGTGGTCGTGCTCAATGGTTTTATCCTTCACCAAGAAGCTAAGTCAGTCCTCCTGGTCAAAGTTCCTATCAGGTTTTTGGTTACAGTACGTCCAGTGAGTTCCAGACAGGTCTCGAGTGTCCAACATATTAGTTTTATCTCTTTATTCATAGATATGTATTTAGGGATATTCAATGAGATCTTGTAATGGGAAAAGGGTTTTGAGTGTTTTATATTTTGGGGTGAGATTGTGAATTCTCTTAAATTCACGTTTGTGATGAGTTTGAAATCTCGTAAAATTCGAGTGGTAGTTAGTCACCCCGAGTGTGTCTTGGGTTGCACAGTGAGAAAAAGGAACCTGAGTGTGTCTTAGGTCGAGAAAGGAACCTGAGTGTGTCTTGGGTCGAAAAAGGTGCCTGAGTTTGTCTTAGGTCTGATAGGATAGGTTCTTATCAATAAGCAAGTGTCTTAGGAGGAACTTGCGAAGCAAAGGTCTGTGTAATAGGTTGTACTAGGAGAGTTGCCTATTATAGTGGAATTTGTTTATAAGTCCCAATAGGGCCGAGGTTTTACTTCCATTTGGGCACTGGATGGTTTCCTCGTAAAACTTGTTGTGTGCTTTAAGTTCCTTTACGTTTTGTTTTTAATTTCCGCATAAGTTCCGCGATTGGAACCTACTACCATTCACCCCCTCTTGTAGTAGTTCATCTAAACTAACAATTGGTATCAGAGCAGGTGCTCTTGATAAACCGGGCAACCCCGAGGAGCAAGTTCCAGGCTAGGATGGATATCTACAAGGAATGCAGCGAATGGAACTCAACCCTAGAACGTTCCCAATACCACGTGAAGGCCAAAGTATGCTTGTGAAGCAGAAGAGATTCAAAGATGAACATCTTTGAGGTAAGTGTCTCGTCTTTGAAGTCTTGATTATATGCATGATAATATGTGTAAAAGTTTCTTGCAGTATTTCTAGTTAAATTTTGGATTTTGTTTTCAAAGTTTTTAAATCAATTTTGTGTAACCTCAAATTTGATTTATAGTGTGAAAAGTATTTTTCAGATTTACAAATTGATTTATTTTTAAAGAATCGGTTTACTAGAAATAATTCAAGGAACGTATTGTGTAGAATTATGCATATTTGGTCTCTTGGAACCTGGATTACCCCTTTATGGTAACTTAATTCTTTGGGCAAGGTAATGAACGTATATTTTGAATATTTTCCAAAGAATGACCTAATCATGTGTATGTATTATTCTGAATATTTATTATATAGACACATGATGTTTATTGTTAGTAAAGATAGTTGTTTTAATTATGGATTATTGACGTCTATTACTAACAAGAAGGTACCCAATATATATTGGGTAACCAAAGCCAAAAGATGACTGATTTTGCAGGCTATGTGAGTAGAGACAACTTATTAATAATGATGATCTTTGGTTGTTTGTATATAAGGAATTATGTGCAAGTTCCTCTCACTAGAAAGCCTTTATAAGAGGTTTGTAGTAGGTGAAGCGATAATATGGATAAGTGAGTAAGTCGCCTATACATCTCTCTGTAAATATTGGTCATGTGCTTTTGGTATGTATTAATCCTTCACAAATTCCTATTGAAATTCAATTCCCTATTCTTATGAAGGTTATTTGTGAATGGATGTAAAGAGAAGTTGTTTTGATAGTTATAATGTATATCATGACAAGCTAACTTCTCTTCTAGTTTTGTGTAAGTTATTATTGATTGTTTTGTAGGTTTGTCCATATAGATAAATCGGGGCATAAAAGTTTGTTCCTTTATGAATTCAATGCTGAAAGGAGTTGGAACTTGGTGAACTTGAAATGATAAAACGGATTAGCTTAGGGATACAGGAATAACTAAGCTTCTATATCAAGGTGCTATAGGAGTAAGAGTATAAATTTCTGTTCAGCTTCTTATTCAAGTTCTAGTCAAGTTCCTATTGTTAAAGTTCCTTGGAACAAAGCATTAATTCCTGTAGCAGACTCTCTTGAAAGATGATGGGTTAAGATGATTATCTTTGATTGCGTGTTGAAGATTCATAATTTCGTTCATGGAGCAACATCTAAAAGGGATTATTTCTTACAGGAACTTTATGCTGAAATATTTTTATGCTTTAGGTTTTATCTACCTCTTCTGACTAACCTACTGAAATTTTAAAGGCACAAAGGAATCTCTTGGGTTGTGAACTTTCAGGTTATATCTTTTGAATGATAATATGAGGGACTTTGACAAGGTGTTGAAGAATGTGAGATTAAATCAACACGTTCCTCTACCCAAGATACAACGGTCTAAAGGACCAGGCCAGAAGGACATGTTCCAACTTTATGTCAAAAGGAACATGGAAGAGTTGAAGGTTTATAATAGGAGGGAATTTGCATTATCTCGACAGCGAGGATCCAAAAGAGATGATGATAGCCAAATCAAGGTATCTCTTGCTATAAATCTGCAATGGAAGAACTTTGACTTATAATACTAACACGAAAGGTAAAATTTCTACATAACAGGAAGTTAGTAAGTCAAGTTCCTATCCCATTGTGAATATTTTTCTTGTCTAGTTTTTAATGCACATTCTGGTTTTCAATTTCTTGTAACTCTAGTTGTTTTATGGCTTCAAAATGACATCATCAATAAAGAGTGGAAATGTCACATATGAAGGGAGTCAAAAAGGGAACACATCATTTGTGGATCTCAAGGTGATTCCTAACAACAACCTGACATTTCTAGGTTTTATTGAAGATGAGATACCTCTATGCTTCAAACTGTGAACATGTTAATGTTTTCATGCCTGATAAACCTAGTAGGAACTCGATAATAGGTATATGTATAT